GGGAGGGAGGATGAGTGGGGGGAGAAGGAGAGAGAGAGAGAGACAGACATGAGAGAGGCACATCAATCGGTTGCCTCCAGCATGTACCCTGACCCAGTCTAGGGATTGAAGCTGCAACTCAGGTATATGCCCTTACCGAGAAATCAAACCCATGACCCTAGGTGTGCAGTATAGCGCTCTAACCACTGACCCACAGCAGCCAGGACTTCAATTTCCTTCTTCAGTGTCTTATAATTTTCTGAGTACTGGTCTTTTACATCCTTGTTTAAATTCTTTTTAGGTATTTTATTTTTTATGTAATTGTAAATGAGATTGTTTTCGTAGTTCATTATTGCTGTATGAAAATGCAACTGCTTAATGGATATTTATTTTATATCCTGCTAACTGAACTGAATTCATTTATCAGTTCTAGTAGTGTTTTGGTGGAATCTTTTGGGTTCTCTATATTATGTCACCTGTAAATAATGACAGTTTTACTTCTTTCTTTCCAATCCGATGCTTTTTATTTATTCTTATTTTCTAATTGCTGTAACTATGGCTTCCAGTACTGTGTTGAATATGAGTGGTGAAAGCCGACATCCCTATCCTGTTCTCGATCTTAAGGGAAATGCTTCAGGGTTTTTCCCATTGAGTATGATGTTGGCTGTATGTTTGTCACAGATAGCCTTTATTATGTTGAGGTATGACCCCTCTATTCCCACTTTGTTGAGAGTTTTTGCCATAAATGGGTGCTGGATTTTCTCCAGTGCTTTGTCTGCATCTACTGATACGATCTTGTAATTTTTATTCTTTATGTTGTCTATATGTTGTATCACATTTATTGGCTTGCAGATATTATAACAACCTTTCATCCCCGGAACAAATCCCACTTGATCATGGTGTATGATCTTTTTAATATATTTATTACCCTTCTTTTATTGGGGTGACATTTGTTAATAAAATTGTATGGGTTACAGGTGTAACTTCTATAATGCATCATCTGTATATTGTACTGTGTGTTCACCACCCCAAGTCAAGTCTCCTTCCATCACCATTTGCCCCCCCTTTACAGTCTTCTACCACCTTCCACCCCCATTCCCCTTTGGACCCAATCTGTCTTTAGCATCTCCCTACTAAGTTAGGTTTTGTCTCAAGTATGCAAATAGATGTCTATAGAGAGGCTTGTCAGGCCCCCAATGAAGAGTTCAGGCTCCACCTATAGTCTCCCTTTCATGGCTGGGTTCTTTTTCTTTCTATCTATTTATTTATTTAAGTTTATTGGGGTGACATTGGTTAATAATGTCAATGTAAGAACTTTCAAACCTGTAGAGAATTTTTATAAATTTTATTTGAGCTGTTAACATAAGAAAACATTCAAACCTATAAAGAATTTTGTGAGTTTATTTGAGCCAAACTGTCAACAATTGCCAGGAAGCAGAATCTCAACGTATTGAGATAGTGCTCCGGAGAATGGCAGTTTTTCATCTATTTTTATACATTAGAATCAAAGGAGGGTTACATGAAATCCATTGGTGATAGATTAGGGAGGGGGAGAAAGCAAAGGGGGTGGGGAATCTCTGGGATTGGATAAAAAGTAAAACGATAGACATATACTTCTCTCACGTAGGTGGGTACAGGATAGTTAACAGCCAACAATGAACAAGATAACAGTAACAGCGAGGGAATCTGTAGTCTTCATCCTGGAGCCCTGGTGCATTGGTTGTGCCCTGAGGAGTCTGGAAAAGGGGAAGTTACAAGTTATCCAGAGAGTCCAATGATATGTTATCATAGATGCAGGAGACAACAGACAGGCTTAGTTAAGGTAAAGATTGACTTTTGTCAGGGAAGAATCTAATGTAGGACATGACTACCTGCCATAAACTACTTTTAGTTAAAAAGTTTTAATTTCAGATCATCCCTTGTTGTTGGAAGCTATCCATTGTCTTCACTCTCAGAAAAGTGTAAACAAGGAGCCCGGAATGTTGGTGAACCTTGAGCTCTGGCAAGGGCCAAAGCTATGTACCGATTGTTTAGTCGAGACAATGGTGGCTCAAGCAATTTCCTGACCAAATAGTCTCAAAGTAAATCTTTACTAATATTTACTGACCTTTAAGATAGTCTGTCTGTTACCAGAATTGCCTGCCTGCCTAAGGGCAATATGTGTATCCAAAACTGAATAAAAGGTTGGCAGGGCCTGGGCACCAGTGAAGTCCTTATCCTAGCATTGGACTCCACCTGGCCCCCAATTTCCAAATTATTATTTCTTGTCTAGTCTCATCATTTGCCCGTGGCCCATCTCCAGCTCCCGAACCCTAAGCCACGTGGGACGTGGCATCTCACACCTTGTGGTTACTTTAGGTCTCTAGAGTTTGCAAGGCCACCGCGCAGGCCTTTCCTGGGTTAGTCAGGTTAGCATGTGGCTCCTTTATATCTGCAGAGCCAAACTAATGACAATTGCTGGGAAGCAAAATCTCAACGGATTGAGAAAATGCTCCAACAAATGGCACTTTTGCAGTTTATTGTATATAAATCAAAGAAGGAATTGTAAGAAGGGTATTACATGAAATTCATTGGTGGTAGATTAGGGGGGCAGGAGAAAGCAAAGCGGGAAATCTCAGATTGGATAAAATGCAAGACAGAGACACATACTTTTCTTTTTAAAAAATATGTTTATTGATTTCAGAGAGGAAGGGAGAGGGAGAGAGAGATAGAAACATCAATTATGAGAGAGAATCATTGATCC